TGTCATATATTCTATAAACAATAAGGTAGTGCCATTTTCTATGCTAGTAATGCAGTTTTGTTTCCCTTTACTTAGCTATTGCATGCGGGAAAGGCTCAATGAAGTTCCTGAGGGTGATTGGCTGTGTGAAGAATGCAAGTTTGCTGAAGAAGCTGAAAAGCAGAAGCAAGGTAAAGCTGAATATTAAACTGACCACGTGATATGTGAAAAAATTAACGGAAAAAATTAGCAATCAAAATTTGGATCCACCTTGACTGATTCCATTTTGTCTAACGAACTTGAAGTTGAAACATGCAGAAGCTAAGAGGAAACCTGAGGTAGCCCTCAATACAAATAGCTCTGGTAAAAGGCACGCAGACAAAACTGAGGCAGTTCCAGATGCTAAAAGACAAGCAGTTGAGACGTCAACTGGGTCACCCAAGAAATCTATTCTCCCCAGATTAGGTGCGTTATCTCGGGAAACATCATTCAAGGAATTTGACAGGTCCAGAGGAAAGCTAAATCATCAAACATCTTTCAGTGATGACACAGAAAGTGCACGATCCACTGGTTCTCAGCTCCAACCTCAAAAAGGTAGGCTGCGTAATGGGATTGCTCTCCCTAAGTGCAAATCTGCCTTATCTCGTTTGTCGTATTTCTGATGATTTTGCAGGTTGTATAGCATTATCTTCTTCTTTTTTTTGTCCAGGTGCATTTTTAAAATCCAGTTCCTTCAATTGTTCGAGCTCGAAACCAAAAGTGCAACTTAGGGATGATGTAATTCTCCGAAGACAGAAGACTGGGAAAGAATATACGTTACCTGATATAAAGGAAGGGGGTTTTAGAAATGTAGGCAAATCAATGTCAAGCAGAACAACAGACACAGGGATTTCTAGTGGTAACGACTCACAAGCAAAAATGCTTTCGTCGAAAGTTTATCATTCACGAGAAGGCAAAAGCTCAAAGCGACTGAAAGATCGTAATACAGAAGCTAACGCGTCAGCATCCTCCACTGACCAGAAGCTGTTTTCTCGCAGCAATTCGTCTGCTTCATATGCAAACAATACCCGTGATTTGAAGGGTTTGCAGTCTGATGGTAAACGAGGTAGCTTGACGAAGCAAGTTAGCAATCTAAACCGAAACCGTCTAGAAAATCCAGTTGCATCTGGTATGATTCCTATCATTTTGTCAATAGATTGGTGCTTCTGTTATTTTATCGTTGATAGTAGTTTGTTTAGATATGTTTTTGATCGCTTTAGTACATGATCTCCCTTTTTGAGATATCTTGTCTGAGCTCCACTTTTATATATTTTTTCCCTATTCAGGAGGTGAAAATTCCACAAATGAAAACTGCAGTGCCAGCGAGCAAAGTTCAGGTCATGCTGACTGTAAGGATGAACTGCCATCCACTTCTTGCGCTGGTGAGGATGTGCCAAGCCATGGTAATGTAGCTTCACAAGATGGATTATCACGGTCCAGGGAATTTAGAGAGGTAGGGAAGAAAAGCAAAGAAGCCTTTGGTAAGCGCCAAAGGTCTAGCCTGTTATCTGGTGCAAAAGGGTTACCATCGTCTCAAAAGGGAGGTCAGACTGCAGATTCTAGTGACACCGGCTCAGGCGTTTCTGATAGTGATCTCTCTACAACGAAAAATGTTAGGGAGGATATAAATAAAGGTAATAGGTTGCGAGCAGCAGTCGATGCTGCTCTGCGTAAAAAGCCCAGCTTTGGCAAGAACAGAGGAGTGGAGCAATCTGATGTGTCTAATGTGGATTCTAGTTCTGATAAGACTTTACGAAATCAGTTGCCTTCAAAGATGCACAAGGATGATGTATCACACGAAAAATTGCAAGGTGGGCATCCAACTTTTTGGCCTGCTTCTGACCCGTACAAACAGACAATTGGAACAAATGAGAAGCAGTTTCTACTCTCTGGTGCTGATGCGATGCCTCCACGATCTGTGGAACTTGAAGTTACTTTTCCCTCTGTGAAACCTGTCGTGAGAGATTGGCCATTAGTAGCCCCACCTGCTCTGTTGAGATGCTCAGCCATTCCAGACCATGAGTCTATATGGCAGTAGGTTTTCTTTCCTTATTGTTCTTTTCTGGTTTTTTATTACTTTTCCACTGAGGCATACGTCTTTTACATGTCCATATAATGCATATTGAACTGTAAGTGTTTATATCATTTTTACAGTGGAGACTTGGAGATTCGGAAAACCAGAAATCAGTCAGCTATGCATAGCGGAATGCAAGCACATCTATCAACCTTAGCATCACCCAAGGTTGCTGAAGTGGTTAACAAATTTCCAGAAAAATTTAGCTTGAATGAAGTACCTCGGCTTAGTACTTGGCCTGCACAATTTCAAGATATAGGTACCAAAGAAGACCATATAGCTCTATTCTTCTTTGCAAAGGACATTGAGAGGTAGGTTTCATTCATGATTATTCACTTGCTTTTGTTTTGTGTTTTGGTGGTTTTTTTGCTTACGAGAATTTTCGATGTTGCTTGTGTGATACAGTTACGAGAGAAATTATAAGCCCCTGGTAGATAACATGATCAAGAAAGATTTAGCCCTGAAAGGAAACCTCGATAATGTTGAGCTTTTGATTTTTCCATCCAACCGGCTTCCTCCAAATTGCCAGCGTAAGAATCCTTACCAAAACTCTTACACTTTGTGCAGATCATCATCTCGTCGATGATTTCATATAGCAAAATGTCATTTCTTACCATTTTTCATATCGAAGTTTTGCATCCTTATCATTTGATTTATGCTGTGAGAGAGAGAACAAAAGTTTGTCATTTTCCTTCCAAAGGATGGCAGACTAAAAGTAATTTACCGAAAACGTGCTTGTTTCTATTCAGACTTGGTTTGCTTCCTTTTTCTTTAGCTCAGCTTCCCAATATTTAGGTTTCTTTTAATAAGTAGTAGTCTTACAAAATTTTAGTGGATCATAATTATCCAATTAAGGAGCAGATATGACTCTTCAGTCATGCTGCAATGCTGACTGTGAGTTTCTAAAAAGTAGCACGATGATTTAAAAAAATATCTTTGGAACGTAATGCCAATTTATTTTGAATGGAAGTAGCACTGCTTACAGCTTTATTAATTGCAGGTTGGAACATGTTATATTTCCTTTGGGGTGTATTCCGAGGAAGAAAAGAGATTTGCACTAACCCAGAAAAGAACACATCTTTCCCTACTTCAATGGTTTTGCCGCATGACCGAGAACCCAATTACTTGTGCCAAACGAGTTCTCCTTCCAGGCATTTGGAGAAAGCGCCTTCTCTACGTGAGAGCTCACAGAACATTATTGAAACTCAAAATAGGACAGATGTACTTAGCCATGAGACCCCAAGTGACAGAGAATCCTCTATTGAGAGATCATCAAGCATGAAGGTGGGTTGTTCTTAGTTTGGTAAATCATAGATTGTGTCTCTTATCTTTCTGAACTCATAGTATGACATTTCCATCTCCTAATTTCACCGGTTGTCTCACTCTTGAATTCATTAATACAGGAGAGAATTGCTCTTAAAGAGGCCGAACCAGGTGCGAATCATATCCCTTGTCAAGCTATTGGATCAAATTCTGGAGATAGTATAGTGAAGGACGTTCAGCCAATTGAGGAACAAGAATTAGATGGTAGAAAGGATCTGCCTTTGACTGTCACGGGCTCAGATATCCAGTTCCGTGTCCAAGACAATCCTATAGGAAAAGATCTCAACTGTAGTCAGGCTAGTCACAGAAAGCTTCCACCTTGGGAACTGACAAGACCCACTAACGAGAATTCCTCTGCCATGAACCAGAAAGTGGATCTCAATAATGACGGTTTATGCAAAGGATCTGCAAATAAGAAGCTGAAGACAGAAAACGGAAGCAGCAACGATTCCTGGGATACATCTGGTAATGATTCTGGGATCATGAAAAAGAGTCCCAAAGTCGTGTTCCCTTTGGACTTGAATGTCGAAAGAGAAGACATGGAACTGGCCGATTGTCTCATTCCCCTCGACAGTAACAACAACAACAGCAGCAAGGGACGGTTAAGCGGTACGGTCCCGGATCTCGAGCTGGCATTAGAAGCTGAGGAAACAAGTCCAGGCACTATAGGACTATTGCCTTTCTTAACTGAAAGAAGCAACTCTGGTGAACAAAGTATGAATAAAGAAAAACAGAAAGACGAAGAAGATGATGATGGGGCGGCTGATGGTTCTCTCTCCTTATCACTCTCGTTTCCGACCGAGGAGAGGAAGAATGTGAATGCTCCGTTGTTTCTGTTCAGAGACCTTCCCAGATAAATGTTATCGTAAGTTATGTTTTTATGAGTGTCTTTAGTTGTTTTTTTTTTGGTTGGTGAAGAAGACTCCAACGAGATAAAATCACAGGTTTGTATATAAGAAAAGAAGGTGATGGGTTAAAAATATGAGATATGGAAATGTTTTTAAAATATAAATTGGTCGAAATCTATAGAAGAACAAAAGTGTGTTCTGACTTCTGAATCCTTCTCTCTGCATTGATGCTTGTTTGTTTCTGTTTTGCTTTAGAAGAGTATATATGATATATTTCATAAATCGATGCTTGTTTAGATTCTGTTTGATTCAAAATTCATTCATCACTCTTTTACCCACATAATTATGAGTTCAATTACACATAAAACAAGCCAACCTCGCAGATGATAATAATCATACAAAAATACATGATAAATTTGCACATGAACTAATTGAAATGAAGAGACTTAAGAGAGTTGGAGTATCCCACATTCTTTTACAGCCCATATGTAACCTCCAAGGTTGAGCTCAAAGGAAAGCGAGTCGGAGGAAGTGCCAGTTGCTTGCACCGCAATGGTGTACAAATGCTCCTTTAAAGGAGGAAGACGTAGGTATCTCCAACTATACGGAACAACGAGGCCATTTTGTTTGTCCGTGATTGTATACGACATATTCAAGTCGTCCTGCGAATTACCAGCCTCACCGCCAACCTTATTAACCAGCGTGAAGCAAGCCTTAAATCTCAAGGGTTTATTTGGAGGCAACCCATCCAACGTCACTGTTACGGTACGTCCTTGGTAACTAAAGGAAAATGGAACTTGAGGAGGCCTCTCATTCAGCTTCACTGTTACGTTACCTCCAGTAGCTCGGTAACTAAAGTAGTCAGGCACTTCTCCACCGGGTATGACTGCATGTTTATGATTCGATACCTTGATGACCAAATCTCTCGCTTCTTGATTTAGTTTGAAGCAGTTCAGAAAGTTGAGAACAATATCCGGATTGCGAAAAGAGCAGTCCAGTCTCTCCAGGGACTCGCAGTTTTCGGCATTTAGGAATGATAAGGAATCCGGAAGCTGTGGGAGTGATACCAGTTTTCTGCATCCGTTGACATGAAGTTCCACAAGACGAGAGCAATCCTTGACCCATGGACCAATCTCTTGTATGTCTGTATTTGTCAAGTACAGCTCTGTGATGCGGTCAAGAGCATGCGGGAACTCCTTGAGCTTTTCACTGTATGACATAATTAATGTCTCAAGACGAGACCACAAGCTGATTGACGGAGGCACTTCTTCTATTGCGGTTCCTTTGAGATCAAGATAGCTGATGTTTGTGGAGATGTCAGGAAAACTTTTCAACAACGAGCAATCAGTGAGGGAAACTCTGTTAAGAGATTCCACGTTGATGTTGGTCGGAAGAACCTCTAGCTTTGAGCAACCTTTTAGAAACAAATTCGACAGTTTTTTGAGGTTTCGAATAGAGGAAGGGAGCTTCACCAGACTTGAGCATTCACTGAGTTCTAATGTTTCGAGATTAGTTGCATTTCCAATAGAGGAGGGGAGCTTCACCAGGCTTGTGCAACCCTTGAGATATAATCTACTTAGATTAGTAACATCCCCAATGGAAGAAGGGAGCTCCACTAGACTTGAACATCCATTGAGACACAACAACATAAGTTTAGTGGCAGTTGAGAGATCAGGAAGCTCCTTCAAGTTTACAGAATAATCCAAATCCATCCACTTGAGATTTCCTAGCGGCTGTACATTCATACAAACAAAGTTAACATACAATAGCATATGATACGATAATGAAGATCATTCTCTATTTTCTCAAGCTAAAACACTGCACCATAAAACAAATAAAAAATGTCTCTTACTCGAGTGTCGTCCCACAACTTCTCAAGCTTGCTAGACCGCATGCGTAGGTCCACAAGGAACATCGGATTAAAATTAGAAGGCAAACATACCACTGGAAAATCATCCCAATCTAGTAATATAAGTTTCCCCGATATGGAGTTCAATTTTTGCGGAAAGTAGAGTCTACCGTGGATTCTTAAGAATTGGAGATTAGTCATTCTCTCAAAAGCTCTTTCACTTATATTATATAATTCTTCCTCGGTCTTGAGATCTAATCCTATAACACTTCTAGTATCCTGGAAAAAAAAAAGACACAAATGAAATATTAATAGAGATGATTAGTTATCAATTTGTTATGAGCAATACCAATGTCAAAACTTACTGTTGTATCATCACTGAGCACTTCATAGATATCTGTTGCGTCAACCAAAAACCGGCGTTCCCATGGGTTACGAATGTCAGACTCACGACCATATTTTTTCCGCACGATTTCTCTTCCCAGCTGGACTAGCAAACTATTTATGTGAAGATATATTCCGAAGTTTATAGATATGAGAGATTTATCAACTAGGACGTCAATCTTTTGCCGGAAGTCCGGGAACTTCTTCCCAAGAAAATTTTCTAGGAACTCAATAGTACTTCCATTGTTGAAAAAGCAAGTTAGATGAAGGAATAAATCTTTCTCTCTCTCATCTAAGGCGTCGTAGCTGAACTTTAAAATATTCTCAATTTGTCCATTAAGGCTGCTCCTCCTTAAGGTGAGTAGTGCATCTTCCCACTGCTGCTTGCTCTTTCCCCGGAAAGAGCAACCAATGACCCTTAGTCCCAAAGGGAGCTGACCGGCAAGAAATGTAGCTTCCCATGCAAGATCCTTGAAACCAGCTGGAGGGGATTTTTGTTTGAAAGCATACATACATAAGATTTCAACAGACTCCTTAGGAGGAACACCCACCTTGTAAACGTGATTGATCCCATGTGCCCTCAAAAGATTTTGATCTTGTGTTGTAATGATAATCCGACTTCCATGGCCAAACCACCGAGTTTCTTTCGCCATGGCTTCTAGTTGGACTAACTGATCAACGTTATCAAGAACAACAAGAACTCTCTTGTCATGCAGCCTTTCTTGTATAGCTCCTAAATGATTGATCTTGAAACCCTCCTTCTGGTTAGTTATTTGAGACAAGAAATTTTGCTGCAAATTCAACTTGAGATCGTTGTCATCTGAACAAATTGGTGTCTTATACATTGCTTTAACATTCGTCATAAAGACACTCAAATCAAAACTGCCAGAGTGTTGGTTAAATACACATCTGGCGAGAGTGGTCTTGCCTATACCAGGAGGTCCCAAAATCCCAATCATCTTCACCTCGTCCGAACCTGGGCGTAAATCTAAAACCTGCTTCATCTTCTCCATATGAGCTTCTATTCCAACAAAGTCGTTGAAATCCCTTGACTGTGTGGAACTAGACAACTTGTTCGAAACATCAGTGACAATTTCTTCGATCATTTTCGCCTCATTTTCACTAACAAAGTGGGAGATGAATACATCCGTTACATAGTCATCCCATAAAATTCACATGAGAATTTTTGAGAAATGCTTTTTTGCTCACTTTTCAAAAATGTCATTTTTCCAAAATATTTATAAAAATGCCACTTTTTCAAAATTATTTATTTAATATATCATTTATGTTTGAGTTAACTCTATATTGTATTAGGGTTTAGTTTTGAGCGTTTAAGATTTGTTAGGGGTCGAAACCTTTTTTTAGGGTTTAAACATCCTTAATTAGTGGTATTTTTGAAAATAGACAATCCATAGTGGCATTTTCGAAAATGGACACACCCAAAATGACTTTTTTGCGATTGTCCCAAATTAATATCTCTGACTTCTTGGATGTATATTGTTTAAAGGAAAATTTTATAAAAATACCACACTTTGAATTTTGTTTCAAAATATACTATATATCAAA